TTTTTATTATTTATTGTAGTTTATATTTTATGGAAATTTTACACAAATGTTACTATAATGAGTTATATATAGGGTTCCTACGCATCTGGAAAGCCAGGGATTTTCATTACTGTTCGGGAAAAGTCAGAGAATTTGTCTGCTTAGCTGCCTTGTTGATTTCGTTTGCAGAATATGGTTGACCAAGTGTAGCCATCTACAGGTGGCAAGAAGTAATGCTACAACCTTTATTACGAATATAGCAGAATCCATTTTTCTATTGAAACATTTTTAGTAATAGAGGACACCATTAGATGTACAAATCCGTCTTTTATAAAATTTTTGTGTCTTTCATATGTGCATAACTGCTTTTCTTATCTGATATCATCGAAACCTGAACCTTGCACAATCACATATAATGAATTAATTTTAATTTTATTCATGTAATAAGTCTTACTTACTGTATTGTAAGAATATGTTTTAAAATCACATAAAATTGTTTAATTTTTTAAAAATTTTGTTTTAATGTTTTGACAGTTAATACAAAGGTTTACTTTTACTGACAGTTGCAGGTCACTTTTAAAACTAACGTTAATTAATTGTTTATGTGAAGAATTACTATAAAATGTAACACTGAGGAGAACATTGTAAAACTCCGGGGATCAAACAGTCCCTAATATAATATAGTGCCAGATCAATCAGCATTTTAAAATTTTAAAACATTTTGAGATTTAAAAAATACTTTATCGTGAATTTTGAGCGAATAATCTGCAACACTCTTGATAATGTAACATCGATTAAAATTTTTCCAAAATATTTTAATTTCCTGCACTTTGATACCTAAAATCTGTTAATTTGGCTATAGAAAAGTCGAAATGCATTCTGGTTGAGAAATTTTTGGATAGTTTGTCAATCAATTTCGATTCTTGTTAATTTATCGACCCCCAGGTTAACAGATTGTCATTCACAAAAGTCATTAGCGATTAGGTATATTAACCTAAGATATTAATTATTTTATTATTGATGATCAATCATTTATAGGTTGTTTTAATTCGTTTTACCGAAATTAAAAGTGTACTTAAATGATTCTTAGATTTTCATTGTTTCTGTAATGCAAAAGCGAAGTTATCTCTGTCAGAAATGCTATTTTAAACCATTTTATATTTTATTCATTTCGCTTGGGAATATAATAATAATATAAAATAATTTTTTTTAAAATAATTGAAATGAAATTCTTGATTTTAAACCGTAACCGATGTTAAAAATTGCTATGGAAACCTCAAATTTGTCAATGATGTAAATCCATCGCAAACTTCTCCGAATTAATTTTTATATTCTTCCTTTTAATCTGTTATTTATTCGGATGTTTTAATTGCCAATTTTTATTCTTTTATACGTTATACAACAGAAAAATTCCAGAATAACATTTTCAAAATCACTCAAAGAGAACAAACAATGCACAATATTCAAGTACTGTATTTAAATTAACTTCACTTTTCAAAAAAAAAGAAAAGAAAAATCTTGTGTTGAATAATAATAAGCTTTCATTTTTATTAAAATGTAGTTTTTTAGTTTCAATAAAGACAAGCTGTTTCTTTCTAGAAGTAAAATGCTTTGTAACTGTGTGATGCCGAAAGAAGGGGGGGGGGAGATGGAATATTTCTAAACATTTGACGTTTTTAATGGAGTTTAAAATTAGTTTTGTAAAATAATATTGCCAGGACACTCCGTTTTGAATGCTAGAAAACAATTCATAATTTATAATTTATATCATGAAACTGGGAGAATTAATTAACCGGCTAAGACATAACAGTATTATATATCAATATTATATACTGAATGGCTTAAAATATAATCACATTGTACAGAATATTTTCGAAATCTTTCTCGATGTCTTAATATATTTGCATACTAATATCGAAGGATGTAAAATTGACGTCCTTATAATTAACATCAACTGCCATTAAAAATTGTTAACGTCATTCAGATATTGTGAAAACGATAAAACCTAAAATAGATATTATTATACTCTTATCATAATAAAGTAATGGTTCCAATTTTTTTGTATAAAAAAAGCTTGAAATGAAAATTATATTATAAAAGAATTCGGGTTAGAATAAATTAATATCGAGTTTTTTAAAACACGAAGCTTGTTAACATGTATTTTTTTTCGATCGTTTGTAAATGCATTCTTAGGCTATTATATTTTATTATATTGGGTCGAATTTCGCATTAATTACAGTATACAATTTGTTGATAGGAAGAAGTGTTTGTCGGCCGAAAAATAATAATTAAAGAAAAAAAAAACAATTATAATTGTTAAATTTTAAAGAAATTTCTTCTCTCGGGATTAATCTACTTCATGTTTATTATATTTTTAAACACTCTAGATCGTAAATTATCTTATTTTTTAATTTTAAATACAAGTTCATGTTTAAATTTTTATATCTAATGTTTCTTTTGTAGTAATTACAATTTTTAAATGATTTACATATATAATAAATTAGAATTCCACCTCTTTTTAAATATAAAGTTGAAATAAGTGTTCTAATAATACTTTATAGATAAATGTCTCTTCAAGCGGATCTATTATTATGTTTTTTTTTTTAAACATATATTTAAGTTACAGGTTATTTTATTATATAAAAGGCTTTCGTTTATGCATATATAACAAAAAAATGTAATAAGAATAATTTAATACGTACGTCCGAGTTAAGATACAAAATTATTACAGGGAAAAGTACTATAATCCTGCACTTTTAACACTGACGTTATCAGTGTTTAATTCATTTTCCCCCCACCTTTTATATGATTTTATACAGTAGATTCCTTGCTTTACGGGTATATATTTTTATCGTCATTTATGAAATGGTTAATTAAATTTTTTTATTGTACATATTGTTATGGTATTATATATAAATTACAAATGATAAGAAACGTGTAGCTATACTACTAATAGTTTTATATATAGGATTTCTAGAATAAAACCTCAATTTATAACATTGATCATATGAGAAATCGGATTTCTATTTACGGTGGTTCATAGAATTTTCTCCAGCAAATCGCAAGAGGGAAGGTTTTGTTGTAAGTTAGAATGATCAAAAATGAAAAATACAGGATAAAACATCATAAGAATCATCGGAAATGTTTTCTAATTTTTCGAGTTCAGTTAGTTTTTTTTTTATAAAACTTTTTATCCCATCTTCATAAGATATCCTCCCATCATTTTTCATTAAGACTGGTAGGCTTGATATTTACGAAATATTCCACGAAGGCGTAAAATCCGAGAAAAATAAAAGCATTGGGGTGACATCACTAAGGGCGTATCTCGAGTCACACCAAACATATTCCGCACGCGTGCAAACCGTTTCGGTGTCTTACTATCTACTTCGACCGCATAAAAACTTTCATGCTAATTATGCTGGAAATCTCGAGTTCCTCGAGGAAATATATTGTTTTATAAAATGATACATCCGATTTTATCGCTCGAAAGAAAAATTGAAGGTTACTCAACGTCTCTTGTACGTGAATCATTTGGCTTTTATCCAAATGTTTGAAGGTTCCTAAGAAATTTTCTTTTGTTTTTTTTCTTTTTTTCGTTAGAGGAAAATATCATCTCGAGTAATTTTGATGGATAAGATTCATTATTTATTCCTTGGCAATGAATAAGTCGGATATATCGCCGTTTTTAAACATTATCCGGTTTAATCTGCATATTTTACTTTCCAGCAGTTAAGAGAAAAGAATGTGTGGGTTCTCTGTAATCATTTTTTATATCAAATTATATGTAATTGCATAAAATAAGTGTTTACAAACGTAATTTGTCTTTTCGTTCCAAAATTATTCCGGATTGTAGAAGGCATTAGCCTACTGTATACGATTATGTTTTTCTTTAAAATGTAGGCTATTATTTTAAATGGACAATAACATAATTCGAATTACGAATTTCTTCAATCCTAACCTGTAATTGCATTTTCTTTTCTTCTTTTTTTAAATTCCCAATTAAGAAATTATATAAATATTAAGTTTATTTGTATGAATTTGACTAGAATCTGCGTAACTGAAGTAAGGAGTTAAGCATAATTATCCGTATTTTAAACGTGTAAATTCCCAAGATGACAAATTCATATAAAATGGTAGGTGATATTTTAAAATTCTTTATGCCACACTTCACTAGAATAAAAAATAAAGTTAATTTTAAAGAAAAGCATCTACCCAAATAGGGAATCATGTCACATTTTTGTGTCGTTAACCGCCCTCTTCTGATTCATTTTAAAAAGTTCCAACCCAAATTTAAGGACATTCGAGATAGAAAACAACACATCCCATTTTGATGGCGCAACCATTTTTTTTCCAGGCTTCCATTTTCATATTGCCATTCAGAAAAAGAGAGAAGAAAAAAAAAATCTTACAAAAATTAAATTTTTAATAACAACACATTTATAATATACAGTTAGTGAATAACCGTTTTAAGACATTTGTTACGTGGATGTGGCTTAGAATTAATTATATACTGTATAAAAAACTTAACTTTTACATATACAATATATCAATATATTTCTATGAAAAATTACAATTTAATGAGACATTTAATTTAATGAAGGTGCCGTAAAACGATAAATCTTCACGACACGATTAGAAAATTCGTAATAATAATTTATATATGTTTTAAACGTTCTTTCGTCTCGGTCATTTTAAATATATAAGGGCCTAATTAATTCATTAAAAATTATCTTAATCGTATTATTAGATGGAGCTTATCGCGACAATAATGTAAATTAATCGCGTCGCGTGGGTATTTCTGGCCATAATTAAGCTTCGCGATAATCGAAAATTAATTAGTTTCACTTTTTCGAACTTGAAAAAGGAACCCGAACCTTACGAACATCACTTCACTTACCTCCCCGCGTTTTATAACTAATTGAATACGTTTATCTGTTAATAGTGAAACTATAAACGTGTTTCTTCGAAATTTTTCAAAAAAAAAAAAAAAAAAAACAGAAAATTGCTAAAGCTTTCCTTCATTTTTTTTTTTTTTAAAGTTGGAAGTTTCTCATGGAAGCGTTATAATCGGGACGATAGTTACTTCCTTTGGAACGTCCCGTCCTATGGGAAAAGTCGGAGAATCTTTCTTGATCGTTGGGTTGAGGTGCAACCACCATGATAGGTTGCAAGTTCATCGACTTTCTGGATGCAGTCGATTGATTGTCGGCTACAAAAGCGCTGTTGACTTCTCCTAAAAGTAAACAAATCAATTAGATTCTGTTTAATATCGATTAATATTTTGAAATTTTTAAGTTATAATTTAGTTTTTAGCATATTTAGGCCTACATTAGAAAGGTATTGATAACATTAGAGATATTAATTATCGAATTCGATATAATAGAACTAATGACTTTTTTTCCCTATAAATCTTTAAATTTGCTCTCATTTTGCTTAAAATTATTTGATCAAAATTTTATTTGAATGTGTTTAATCTTCACATTGCTTATGACTAATTATTTTGTTAAAGATCCTACTTATATTTAATGGAATTATTTAAATCTTTAATACTATAACAAAATTGACAATTATTCATTGTCCTGTAATTTTATAAAGGTTAGTATTAAAGAAGAATTAAAAAAGGAAGTTAATTTTGTTGTTCTAACTGAAAGGGAAAATCTACTTGTAGGATTGCTTTTCTAAAGAGATAATAAGCATTTAATGAATGTTTATTTAACTTCCTATTTACTGTCAATGATCTATTTAAGAAGTCGTGAAGACCAGAATACTTAATCGTTTATAGATCCGCAATTACGGACTTAGATATCTCCAAGTCCGATCACATAAAGTTATAAGTGTACTTTCTAAAAGGTTTATTATAATGGTGATAAAATGCAGGAAACTATTAGCCTAAATAAAGCAACAAAGGTACAAATTTTGACAATACCGAATAGACGATGTACCGCTTTGTTCTTTCATTGTTTTCAAAATAACCTCGTGCACTTGTACCCCCGTGCATAAGTACATAATGTATTATTTTCTTAATAGAGATATAAGAAAGTTATTCTGAGGGAAATATATTTTCGTTGCAAAACTCATCTTTTAGGTTAATTGTAGTTTCTCTAACTTTATGCATATGCGGTCACGTGTTTTCGTCGTTCTCTTTTAATCCACCCTCACAGTCACGACGGCCGACGTTTAGTGGGTCGTGATGAAAGTTATATAGGCCTAGGTAAAACTATTCATTCACGATTACAAATCTTATCCAGGCGGGATGAGTACAGAAAAAAGCGCAAACACCCACATTGAACATCTTAAGATTTAAATGTCAGAATTCTTCACTTGTTTTTATTTAAAAAAATCTAAAACCTATTTCCTTTTGAGATTTTAATTTAAGATTGACACATCCCGTTCCATTTCCGTCAATTATCAGATTTTTAAAAGGGATTAGCGAAAGTTGTTTAAATTTAATTCAAGGAGAATGCGGATCTGCATACTTATCAGGATTATCTTATTGAAAATTTAATCCTTTAACTAGATAATTTTTTTGATTAATAAACACTTAAAAGAACGTGATACGAAAACAGATTAACTAGAAAGCGCTTACCTTTATAAACGGATCCGTTAGTAATGTACTGCTCCGGTAATAACTTGACATAACGAGTGCCCAAAACGAAAGCTAGAACGGCTAGAACTACACAATCACACACTCCGATAATGGCTAAGATATATGCCCAACGTATGCCGCATTGTCCTGTGTTGTAGTCGTCGGCATCGGGACCGCATACTTCTCTAACTTCGGCAGCATCCCAGCCTGCTGGGAACGTCAATACACCAATCACCATCGAAATGGCTAAAAAAAAAAAAAAAAATAAATGATCATTAATGGATTTCAAGCAAATACTTGTCCTCGAGTCTATAAATTGTTTATATTTTTTAAAAATTGTCACTTCTCGATTATTCCAGAAAACTATTTCATGAAAAATTCTGTTAAAAGTTAAATAATACTCCGAAGAATTGTATATGAACTACATTACATGGCTATCTACAGAATTAAAGTAACTTTAGACACACAAAAATGTTCGAATTCGCTTCTTCCAGCAACTTGAAAAATGCATCAAGACTTATTTAACAAAGAACGAAGTTTTTCAGTTAGAAAATGGACCGAAATCTTTAGATTTACGGATCAAATTTTTAACGACGAAATTTAAGTGCGAAATTAATGGAACCAAATTAAAAACTAAATGAAATTAAATAGAATTGTTCGGATGAGTTTCCAACTTGTTCTCTAGTTACTTCAAGGGTCAATAAATTTATCTAAACCCCCTAAACAACCCTCAATTTGGGTTGTTTAGGGGGTTGGGATGGACAAATTTTATTAATAGAGCAATTTAGGGGAGACCGGGGCAACTTCGGCATGCGGAGCAAGTTTGTCAAGCGCTTTTTTTAAAAACAAATTAAAAGGAGACTTTGGTTATAGGTTAGGCAGTTGAGTTTTATTGGTGGCTTGTTGAGTGTAGTGTTTTTATTGTTCTCCAACAAGCGTAGTTGAATTATCAAGCAAATTTTCATTTTCGTTCAATTCCATATAATATTTTTTTTCCATTTATATTGAATTGGCAGGTTTTGTTATAATTCCATGATAACGAAAGTTACTTTTCCTGTTAGAAGGATGTAACTTCAACTTATTCACGTGGCCAGATCGTGGCTTGGCATTCTGTTCTCAGGGTTGTACTTAATGTTTCGAAATCATGACTAGCGGGGTAAGATCGGCAACATAAAGCCACATTAGAAGCAAAGGATAAAAATCAAACAGATGATAAATGAAAACATGTTTGCATTTGTTATTCATGTATATATGTCTTTGAACTTGCATTTCGTTGTAATAATATTAAATGGGTGTTGGATTTGTATTTCTTTGTTTTAATAGTGAATTCCAACTTATACATTGTTAATAACATAATTTTATATACGTGCCTATCTTGCCCCATTACTGTTGCCCCTATACCAGGGGCAACTTTAATAAAAATAATTAAAATAATTACAACTTTACAAAAAGAGAGAAGTTGCCGATCTTGCCCCTATACCCGGGGCAACTTCGTCAATTTCTCTCTTCTTGTAAAGTTGTAATTATTTTAATTATTTTTATTTCCAAACTGATTTTAACCAGTTCTATAGTAAGGTAACATTCCAATAGACAATATGCAAAGCTTTTTTTTTTCAGTTTACAGCAGTATATATTACACAAAATTTAAGTAAAGCTTAACATGCCGATCTTGCCCCGGTCTCCCCTATACAACTTTCAAGTTAATAGTCGAACGCAATTTTGAATTTTATTTCATCCTATTTGTAATTTTTTAATTTTATATCGGTGTGGAGAAGGGAGTGGCAAATTAATTTAATTTGGGAAAAGATCAACAAGCAAAAAGAGTTGGAAGCTTTTGATTTATTGATGTCCGATATTTGTTTAATAAGTAAATGAAATATCGAAAAAGAAATGAATAATTTATAAATAATAAGAATAGTTCAAGATAAAGTAATTAGATTTCATTTATATTTATAACAATAATTTGATCAGCTAAATAAATAATAAAGTCTTCATCTTGTAGACTACTCTTTTATACGATTTATTCATTCTTCGAATCAAAACGCACAATGAAATTATCTTCCACCAAAATATCCAAAATTATTCTATTCAGTATCCATAAGATTACTCTGACAACCACTTAAAAGGGTTTTTTTAGACAATTCAGCAAACGCAATGTCATTCTCAATACCCGAGACCAAGAATTATTCAAAAACTTATTATCTAATTCCTTCTATATGTATTCATTTCGATGATTGTCAGAATAATGAATAAAATCCTGCACATATTGCTAATTTTTAGCTTTGTCTTATCCGTAAGATCTTAAAATTTTTTATCCAACAACTATAAAATTTAAAATTTTTTGCTGTTTCATATCTAAGAAATCGCCAAATTTCGTTCTAAACACTCAAAACATTTTAGGACTTTTAAGTAAACTGTAATAGAATTTTTATAATAGAAAAATTTATTAAACATATATATTACATATTACGATTAAATATATATTATTAAGCACTTTTAACGGTTTTGAAACCACTAACATATTTGCCGTAATGGTGTTAACAGCCTTTAGTTTGATAAATCGGGACTGAAAATTTAATATTTTATCCTGTAATAAGAATATTTCATTTTTATTTATATCGATATCTTTGTACAAATTGCATAATATATTCTTGATTCAAAAAATCTTTCACCGGTCAGATTTCACCAGTAGATAGGCCAATAACTTAACTCCCGAATTGGAGAAAAAATATAATAACTAGACAAAAAAATTGTGTAGTAATAGTCTTAAGAATTATAAATATAAATAATTTCTAAGTAATATATGTAATGTCTTTCCGAAAGTAAATAAGTAGCTGTTTGTTAGATAAGAATCAGGAAAGCAAAACTAACATTCTGAGTTTTCAGTGGTCGTGACGGCCTCAAAAAGTTAAATTCTGCGTGGGAAACCGTTATTAAAGTGTTTCTGGCCGTAAATTTTTCTCGGATGCGGGTTTCGTGAATAACTTTCTGAATTTAAATTTGAGTACAAGGATCTCTTCATTTGGTCATTTCCTTCTTTCTTCCGGATCTAAGTTATTAGAGATAATAACCTTTTATTCGTGAAAGTTGACATCACAGATTTCCTAGAATTACATGTTTTCGAAAAGAATCTCTTTTTTTATGACGCGAAGTTTTCTATTATAATATAAAGAATTTTTCATTTAAAGTAAATATTTAAATATAATTTAATAGTTACTTGGTTTAAAAAAATATTATGTCGAAAAATAAGCTCAGACTTTTATTTAGTTGAATTAAAATCATAGAGTCAAGGAGACATTCCATCCGCAATCATTAACTTGTGGATCACGTACGCTTATTATTCAAAATGGCGCCTTACAATAAGAACCATAAAACCATTTTCATTTATTTTACTAGGACTTTTTATTCATCTTCCTGATGAAGTTGATGACATAATTATATTAATGAAAATTTTATTCAAAATCTATTTTTGAAAGGTTGTCCTCGGGCTGAAAGTGTTGCGAAAAAGAGTAAAAAAAAAAAAAAATGGCTGAACAATAGCGAAGCAAATTAGATTACTTATTTTCGTTAATCGAATTAACGAAACAGGTTAAATGGTCAACGTAATGATCTGAAAAATGAAGGAAATGTATTTTTAAATATAAATAAAGGAGTTTCGTCTATTCTAGGACGTCACGAATCGGTCAATTAAGGATCTTTGATGTGTCGAAAGGAGGAAGAAACGATAAATTACGTCATAATTAATACACGATAAGCGTATTGTTGACTTTATTTATATTTTAATTTTTACAAGGAAACTACAATATGAAATTTTTAAATAAATTTTGTCTTAGATCGATAAGGATTTCATGAGAAACATAAGAAAATAAGTACGGATTCTCAGACTTCTTGTCATTTCTAAATTTGTTTCAAAATAAGAGTTGATTTTTAATAAAATCCACGGCGAGTGATATATTGGGTAACAAAAATCATCTATAGAAATTGGGTGAACTTTTCGGGACGAGGTTAAATCACGTTATCAATCATTATAATCGACTTTTAAAGAGAGAGGGGTTATGAAATCGTTAGGAAAATTATTCCAAATTACCGCCTATTTTCACAAGGTTAACTTTTGCAACTAAGATAAGAATCATCGGAAATTTTATAAACAGTTACTACTTATAACCTATTATTAACACTTGAAAAAAACGCTTTAAATTATTCCAAAAAACAAAAATTTGTTTAGTAGTAACATGTAGGGTCTAAGCTATTTAATAGAATATAAAATGTCAAAAGAATCATGATTATTTTCGTAGAATTTTATAATATTAAAGTATAACAATCTCCTAAAACAATTTGATTTAATTACAACCTTGAAAGATACGAATTTTTACGAACGATATTGTGGTCCTCAAGTCAACGAATAGCCGCGGGGCCCTCGAAATATGATTTTTATTCAGAGGCCAGATCATTAATAATATCCTAAATTTTCTCTATTAAAAGTTCAAAGTTTTGTTCCAAGTTTTCAAGCATCGAATATTTAAATTTTGTAGGAAAGTAAGTAAATAATTCATCTTACGTTTACGTATAAAACTCGTATTTGATGACACGACGAGTTTTATAAAGTCTTCAAATAAAGATTTTATGTCGTATTATTTGTTTGCAGACATGAATAATTCGTGAGAAAATTCGCGTTTAATAGCTTTTCTTTGAATTTTTCCGTTATTTCACACGTAACGAGAATTATTGTGAAATGCGAGTAGCATTAAAAATGATATGTATTGTGAAATCTAAATTTCATTTTTTTCACACCTGTCATTGAGCTGGGTACAAAAAATATTCGGATATATATTGATAGTATCTGTTTAATGAGGTGATTATTATCGAATCCGTAGTGTAGTTAGCATTAAAATTCCTCTCAGGTTTAAGACTTCCGTTGTAAACTTGAAGTTGGGTCGGAGGGATCGTAATACAAAAAAGAATCCGTGGAAATATACCTACGGTATCTTAATACCCGAACGAAGGCCTCCCTTTGATTTAGCTTAAATTTCGAGGTTAAATCCCCTCGGGACATCCTCACTACGCCCCATTTTTGTAGAATCGATCCAAATCGAGACGTTTGGTCCTCTAAAATGTTTTCCCCTCTATAAAACCTAATACTTCTACATTGATTAATTAGTGAATGATTACATTATAATTTTTAATTTCAACATTCTCTTTCATTTGTCTATTGTCTCGTGAAGTCTGGCACTTCTTTCAAGGACTCA